TTTCTTCCGACTTGGAATACAAAATGTTTTCTATGGAAAATAAATGTTCGTCTAGTATTTCTTCCTTAGAAGAAAGGGTGTCTTCCGTTGAGGAGAAAATAATGTCTTCCGTTGAGGAGAAAATAAAACAGATGGAGAAAAAGATAGAAGAACTGGAACATTCAGAAACGATCAAGGACGTTAAAATAAAGTGCCATGAGGTGGAGTCAAAGTTGAAATTGGAAAGAGCTGTAAATTCTGCTCGTATTAATGCCTCAACTTTCGACGGAAATATATCATGTACGAACTACCTTAAACAGTTCGAAACAGCACGAATGGTCCGAACGAGAGAAGGCAGTAAATTTGACCATCGCTCTTCGAGGAGACGCTTTAGATGTTCTTCAGACGGAAGAGACAGATGACTTTGAACAACTCAAAAAGAGACTAAACAAGCGATATGGCTACGAATACTTGGAGCATTTATACCAGTCACAGTTAAATAATCGCAAACTGAAACGAGGCGAGACTCTTCAAGAATAGTAGATATTGCCAGGATGGTACGATTTGCTTACCCATCAGCTCCGGAAAACATGATGGAATGTTTGGCAGTCCAAACATTTGTTGATGGACTCCGTGACCACGATATGCAGAAAACACTCAGCTTAGCCAGCCACAAAACATTGATGTTTTGTCCGTTGCTTTAGGGTATGAGGCAGCTACGCATGCTTCTGGAGGATACAGTAAAGTGAGGACTGTAAAGGAAGAAAACGTAGAAGATAAACTCAACCAACTAGTTAAAATAATGAAGAGCTTTACTGATAAAAATATGAAGACAAAGACCATCAGGTGTTGGAATTGCGGTGAACAGTTCATGTAAACGCCCTAGGGTTCCAATAACTAAAGACAACATGCCGCAGGAAAACAAGAGCGGGTCAGCCTAGAGGGGACAGATTCGACCCTAAACCGTTCCAAAGACGTGTTCACGTGTATAGTGTATACGTGGACAGCGCAGTAAATGGTAAAAAGTATACACTTTCAGTGGACACTGGAACAACTAGGACCATTATACGACCAACAACCATAAATAACCGTGATAAATTTCTACCAATAAGATTGCGACTGCGGATTGCCACAGGTGAAACATCATGGGGAAATCCAGGTTCAATTGGGTTCGGTATAAAAAAGTTCACTCATACTGTTATTGTCGCTGATATGGAAGAAGATGTTATACTTGGAATGGATGTAGTGAACATGGTTTCCAGTTGGAATTTAAGAACAGAGTGATCAAAGTTGGTGCCCAAGAGGTATTCCTATATCCATATGGAGACAGTACCGTGCCAGTTGTTTTACAGGATGATACGGTAGTACCTGGCAGAAGTGAAACCGTTATAGTAGCACAGCTACAAGAAAGTATGGAAGAAGGAACACCTGTTATGATGGAACATTGGAACTACGATGAAGAGGTTGGACGAGGAATTCTGATCGGAAAGGGGTTAGTCGTTTTAGCCTGTCAGATTAAAACAAGAAAACCGACAATTCCGAAACAGAAGCGGATGATTAAAACGCACCTATTAAAAATATTGCGCCAAGATGTAGGCAACACGTAATAAGGAATCAAAATGTCGGAGTTTTCTATCTCCTTTTAAAAGGCACTCAGAAAGCTGCGCAGTGCGACCATTCTCCGTATAGTAAGAGAATCAAAGTATGTGACTAAAAGTGTTCATGTTTTCTGAAACTAATTTCTGAACAAAGAGTCCTATGTCTGAGTTTTTTTAGAAGGATTCTGAACTGTTTTAAAGAGTTCTATGTGATTCTAGCCAAAAGTGCAAACTGACAAAAATCGTTCTAGTCACACATGCGCATTGCATCATTACAAAAATAATAATGAGTAAACAATGTTAGAGGTTAGGTATATTATATTGTGAATTTCCTTGAATATGGAATTATAGGAATTTGACTGAGAAAATTAATGTTTTTCTTAGTTTATCTTTTTCTTTAAACTAAGAAGAACATATTAACGATGACTGACCTTCACAAAACGTAACCAAAGCATAAGTACCAATTTTATTTAAAGTACAGTTACAAAAGGGAAACCTCCGTGTTTGTTGTTAGTTTCCCCACAATTTTAACAAAATCAATTCACAGTAGGTGTTCGTGTTAATGTCTAATCCAAAAATGTTCGGAAGAATTCCAAATTTGTGCCACTGAGCAACTAGTTCTGCGCAATTTTAGAACAGTTCTATTTTGAATAACACGAACAAACCTTTAGGATTACAAATATGTTCATACTTATTAATTTCAAAGTAATATTTTAGGCTACGTTTGTACGTTTATTTGTGTAGTGAACTAACTTACACTAAACGACCTGTACAGTTTTGCCAAGCATATGGCGATTTCCTGTTTAGTGAGAGAGTCATTTTATGTTTATAGTAATTCTGTTTATTTGTCTTCAGATGTCTCGGCACTATCAAAAAAAGTTTGGACCTCGGGGGAAGAAGAATTATAATAAGAAATTCCTTCAGAGGGCACGGCGGCGGTAAAACAAAAAAAGATGTCGATGAGGGCTGCCGCTAAGCGATTTGCCATCCCTTACTCTAACATCAATGATCATTATCACGAACGACATCCGCTCTAGATGAAAATGAAGAGAAAATGTTAGCTGAAGGCCTACAGTTTTGCGCCAATTGGGGTTTCCCCTTAAAGCCGATTATATTGTCAGGCAATATTTTACGAAGCGTGGGGTGACAGAACCAAGGTTCGTAGATAACACACCTGGAACAGACTGGTTCAATGGTTTCATGAAGCGAAATAGCAATCTCGTCATGAAACTGGCAGAAAATACGAAACGCGTTTAAGCAGCGTTAAGCTACGAGTTAGTGGCAGATTATTTTATAAATTTAAAAAATGTTGTGTTCCAACATTATCAATTATGATGAAACAAATTTTGTAGATGACCCGGGCGCTGTGAAAGTTGTCTTAAAAAAGGACACCAAGCATGTGCATAGCACGAAGCATAGGTAGCACGAAAACTAGCACCACGGTAATATTTGCGATAGCAGGAGATGGTGCCATGCTTCCACCATACATTGTCTATAAGGCAAAACATTCGTATGTGGGATGGACTTAAGGGGGTATAGAAGGGGCCAGATACAATCGCACTCTCAGCGGGTGGTTTATTTCCACCGTCTTTGAAGACTGGTTCTATTCTATTATTTTGCCGCATTTTAAGAAGCTAGATGGAGATAAAGTTCTAGTTGGAGATAATTTAAGTAGCCACGTCACTGTCAGCGTTATTCAGGAATGCGAATATAACAATATTAGATTTGTCCTGCTGCCACCCAACAAGACACACCTGCTACAACTTTTGGATGTAGCTTTCTTCCGACCTCTTAAGGCGGCATGAAAAAAGTATTAGAAACATGGAAGTTGAGAAATAGAGGAGTGCTTCCCAAAACTTTATTTCCAATGCTTTCCAAGAAGGCTGTGTAATTCTGTTGATCTCAAATCTCAAGCCAACTCTATTGCAGAGTTCAAGGCAAGTGGCATCGTTCCATTCAATCCGGATGCTGTACTAAAGAAAATCCCAGCATTTGAACACTTAAAACATCATGGACAGGTGCTTTAGTAGATTATCTTGAACACTTTTGGACGGGTCCAACGAAGACTATTAAACGAGGAAATCTGAATATATCTTCAGGAAAGAGCATAGGGACATCGGATCTGTTAATGGCTGAATCCAGACCCACATCACAAAACACCAAAACCAGGAGGCAAAGACGGGAGGCAAGTGACAGCGAATCAGAAGATGAACATGGTGAAGCTAAAAATAAGAATATAAGTGACATTGAGTCAGAAAAAGAGTCGGATTTAGAGGTTGCGGAATCAGAGAAGTCATTCACAGAAGATTACGAAATAGGAGAACCTTCTACCCTTTTCGAAAACTTGACAGAAGAGCAAAATTCTGAAGTTTTCATGATAAACGACTACGTATTAGTAAAATTCAAAACCAACAGAAGAGACATTTTATTGCCATCGTTAAAACTATCTCAGACGAAGAACTAACTGTTAATACAATGCGCAAGAAGGACTCAAACAAAGATGTATTTTTTGTATATCCGCAAATTCCGGACCTATTAACAATTACGTTTGAGCAGATTAAAAGGAAAGTTACCTTAAAAGGAGAAAACGTGGAAGGCACACCTTTCAATTAAGCGATGAAGAACAAGATCTTCTAGTATAAGTTTTGTTTGTACAGCTAATAATTTTATATTTTATGTTGAATTTTATTTTTAAATTTTGACTGATTTATTTTACCTATGTAAAGAATACCTATGTTTTATGTTTTTAGATAGATCTAAGAATTTGTGATTATGTTTTGTTCCTATATTTTTCTATTGTTTATAGTTTTTCGTTGAGTTTATTTAGTTATAGCAACACATGGCTGTAAAAGAAAACTTAATAAAGAAGCATTTTTTTATTTTTTGGTGGATTCTTAACCTGAAATTAAAAAATTCGATTGAGTAATTTTTTTTTCAATGTTTTTTTTAATCGACTTTACCCTTTGAAAGGATAAAGTCGATTTTCTGTGTTTTTGAATAGGTGATCAACTTTACCCAATATGCGCGGTAAAGTCGATCGCTCTTTGAGGAAAAATAAAAATTGAATGGTAAAACTTAAAAAATAATGATGGGTTCATCAAATGGCTTAATGTTTAAGGTACCTTCACTTTTAATATCATTTAAAAAAATGAATCGTTTAGGCGCTATACTAAAAAAATCTTTATTTGTGATCGAAATTACGGTATATTAAGGGTACGAACTTTTTTCTGAATACCATTGATGTTGTGAACCAATTAATTGTCCACTTGATATATTTTGATACCATTTATTCAATTACACGTGATATCACTTTATGTAATTATTTTACTTGTCATAGTACGTTTTTGTTTGTATTTTTCTATTGCAGACCTGAGGATAGCCTTGTCCATCGAAACTAGTCGCACCAAATGAAATTTTAAATGTTAATAAATATAATAGTTCGTAAATACAAAAAAAAATAAATTCAATTCTTTACTGGTAATTTAATGGATATGGTTTTGGTTTCCAAATATTCCTTGATAGATTCTTCACCTCTACAAAGAAAAATAATTAAAAATATTATAAAATGGCATACACTTTATAAATATGAATAAATATAATAAATATGAATAAATATGATAAATAAATATGATAAATATGAAAAAATACCGTGGCACTCGGGGACTGCCGCGGTAAAGCTATTGCATAGCATTTTATTATTTATTTAGTATTTTTTTTTTCTTTGATATTAATTCAAGTTTTTTCTTTGATATTAATTCAAGTTACACTTTTTGAGTGTGGTGACCGATAAGAAAACAATTTTTTTTCTTTTATTGAATAAATGTGAAGTTAATATTGTTTAAAACATTTTTATTATCTTACAATACATGTAGGTTATTCAGAAATTTTTATCATTGAAACTATAGGTTTATGGTAACCGAAATAAGAAACATAAGTTTGAGACTTGATATCCTCTAAATATCTGGAAAATACCGCGTCAATGCCCAGACACCACACCAAATCCTTTGGATATCTACTGAACATCCCAATATCCACTGAATGTCCAGTCCATGGTAAATATCTATTTTATATCCATGAAATGTAATTTATAGACATGCAAATGTCCATAAATAATAGTAATTATATAGGAAATTATTAAAAAATTACGCCATTGTGCTCGCCATTGTGGCTTATAGTACCGTTCAGATATTTAAAATTAATTTTTTTAAGGTGTATTCAATATCCCATGAACATCCACTAAATATATCAAAGTCTCCATCGTGGATATCCACTAGATGTTATTTGATTCTGCTAACTAAGTATAGATGGCGATACCACTATCGCATCTACTCATGCTCGACCCGCCGTAATTGAGTTCGATCGAAATTTGTGTCCTAATCACGCCATTAGAGACTGGAGTCGAGAATTTTCATTTATTGCTGAAGAGTCCTAATAAGGATGACTTTCTCCTTAGGGGGCAAAATCAAAGGCAGAGTGTTGAAAATATTTTTTATCTCTGCTATTTTCTTTCGAATTTATTCAATAATCATTGGTTACTTATGAACCTCTACTAAAGATACCCATAAAATATTTTGCTGAATATCCGAATATCTTCTATATCCTGGGATATAGACGGACATTTGGTTGGATATCCATATTGGATATATTGAATATCCACAAAATATATTTTGTGGATATCTCTGGGATTTCTTGTATTTTCTGGAAGATACCTATTAGATATTTTGCTGAATATCCATTAGGATATCTTCTATATTCTGGATATAGACGGACATTTGGATATCCATATTAGATCCACAGAATATTTCTGATATCCTGTGGATATATTTGATATCCACAAAAGATATTCTGTGGATATCTCTGGGATTTGGTGTGTTGTCTGGGTGGTGGTCCCATAATTTGTTGTGGATTATTGTGGATCATTATTCATTTTCAAATTCAATTTTTCCGAAATTGTGTCTAAAAGAGATAGAATCAGTTATGAGCAGTTAGCAGCTAATCTACACGCATACGTCTAGCCGCACGCACACAAACACCGTGCCGAAGTCTGTCGAACTGAAACGACGTAAGACGATGCACGGCTTTTAATGCCGCGCCACTGTGCCGGTCGGAGTGGGGCGGTGTTACGGAATTTCTTTTTCGATTTTTTGATTTTTCGATTTTTCGATTTTTCGATTTTTCGATTTTTCGATTTTTCGATTATTCGATTTTTCGATTTTTCGATTTTTCGATTTTTCGATTTTTCGATTTTTCGATTTTTCGATTTTTCGATTTTTCGATTTTTCGATTTTTCGATTTTTCGATTTTTCGATTTTTCGATTTTTCGATTTTTCGATTTTTCGATTTTTCGATTTTTCGATTTTTCGATTTTTCGATTTTTCGATTTTTCGATTTTTCGATTTTTCGATTTTTCGATTTTTCGATTTTTCGATTTTTCGATTTTTCGATTTTTCGATTTTTCGATTTTTCGATTTTTCGATTTTTCGATTTTTCGATTTTCGATTTTTCGATTTTTCGATTTTTCGATTTTTCGATTTTTCGATTTTTCGATTTTTCGATTTTTCGATTTTTCGATTTTTCGATTTTTCGATTTTTCGATTTTTCGATTTTTCGATTTTTCGATTTTTCGATTTTTCGATTTTTCGATTTTTCGATTTTTCGATTTTTCGATTTTTCGATTTTTCGATTTTTCGATTTTTCGATTTTTCGATTTTTCGATTTTTCGATTTTTCGATTTTTCGATTTTTCGATTTTTCGATTTTTCGATTTTTCGATTTTTCGATTTTTCGATTTTTCGATTTTTCGATTTTTCGATTTTTCGATTTTTCGATTTTTCGATTTTTCGATTTTTCGATTTTTCGATTTTTCGATTTTTCGATTTTTCGATTTTTCGATTTTTCGATTTTTCGATTTTTCGATTTTTCGATTTTTCGATTTTTCGATTTTTCGATTTTTCGATTTTTCGATTTTTCGATTTTTCGATTTTTCGATTTTTCGATTTTTCGATTTTTCGATTTTTCGATTTTTCGATTTTTCGATTTTTCGATTTTTCGATTTTTCGATTTTTCGATTTTTCGATTTTTCGATTTTTCGATTTTTCGATTTTTCGATTTTTCGATTTTTCGATTTTTCGATTTTTCGATTTTTCGATTTTTCGATTTTTCGATTTTTCGATTTTTCGATTTTTCGATTTTACGATTTTACGATTTTTCGATTTTTCGATTTTACGATTTTACGATTTTTCGATTTTTCGATTTTACGATTTTACGATTTTTTGATTTTTCGATTTTTCGATTTTTCGATTTTTCGATTTTTCGATTTTTCGATTTTTCGATTTTTCGATTTTTCGATTTTTCGATTTTTCGATTTTTCGATTTTTCGATTTTTCGATTTTTCGATTTTTCGATTTTTCGATTTTTCGATTTTTCGATTTTTCGATTTTTCGATTTTTCGATTTTTTGATTTTTCGATTTTTCGATTTTTCGATTTTTCGATTTTTCGATTTTTCGATTTTTCGATTTTTCGATTTTTCGATTTTTCGATTTTTCGATTTTTCGATTTTTCGATTTTTCGATTTTTCGATTTTTCGATTTTTCGATTTTTCGATTTTTCGATTTTTCGATTTTTCGATTTTTCGATTTTTCGATTTTTCGATTTTTCGATTTTTCGATTTTTCGATTTTTCGATTTTTCGATTTTTCGATTTTTCGATTTTTCGATTTTTCGATTTTTCGATTTTTCGATTTTTCGATTTTTCGATTTTTCGATTTTTCGATTTTTCGATTTTTCGATTTTTCGATTTTTCGGTTTTTCGATTTTTCGATTTTTCGATTTTTCGATTTTTCGATTTTTCGATTTTTCGATTTTTCGATTTTTCGATTTTTCGATTTTTCGATTTTTCGATTTTTCGATTTTTCGATTTTTCGATTTTTCGATTTTTCGATTTTTCGATTTTTCGATTTTTCGATTTTTCGATTTTTCGATTTTTCGATTTTTCGATTTTTCGATTTTTCGATTTTTCGATTTTTCGATTTTTCGATTTTTCGATTTTTCGATTTTTCGATTTTTCGATTTTTCGATTTTTCGATTTTTCGATTTTTCGATTTTTCGATTTTTCGATTTTTCGATTTTTCGATTTTTCGATTTTTCGATTTTTCGATTTTTCGATTTTTCGATTTTTCGATTTTTCGATTTTTCGATTTTTCGATTTTTCGATTTTACGATTTTTCGATTTTTTGGTTTTTCGAGGATGTTAGGTTTATTTTCGTTACGGAATTTCTTGATTCGGTCGCCGCGATCAAAGCCCGCGATAAAATCTATGCAATAGCTTAATAATGAAATAGTTAACACTGATAAAATTAAAATTAATATTTTATAAATCTTGCAAAAAAAATTAATATCTAATATTTACGCCAGCCGGGAACATTTTTGATACCAATTTATTAGAAGCCAGAGAAAGCTCTTCTATAGTTCTTGTATTGCATAAACGTTCCAGTCCGCAGATGTATATTTAGCTCCGCTTCATACTAGTACGAATAGGGTCGGATAAAACCTTCCACGGCTTTCAACGCCGCACCACTGTGCCGGTCGGAGTGGGGGGTGTTAGGTTTATTTTCGTTACGGAATTTCTTGATTCGGTCGCCGCGCTCAAAGCCCGCGATAAAAGCTATGCAATAGTTTAAAAATATGATAAATTTGGAATAATTTTCAGATTGTAAAATTTTTCGTAAATTTTCCATTATCTATTGATTTAACAAAATTGTTCCAAGAAAATTTTTCATAATGTTCAAAATGTTCCATATAATTTTTCATTGGCGTAATATGTATAATGCGAGTCAAACTCAGGACTTCCTTAAGAACAATTAATCCACAAAAGTCTATTTAAATTTAAAATTCTCCATTTTCTATTAGTAGTAAAGTTAGAAAAGTGTTTGGTAGTTTGATTCAAAGCTATAAATAAGGCTAATCAGACCAAAGTAAACAAAACGAGAAGTGATAAAATTAAAAATGAGATTTGTGACTCTTATAATCGATCGGCCATGATGTGCCATTGCGTAATGGGTCATAGCGTAATAACGAGTTGGTGCTATTTATGTGATTTGTGCATACAATCATCATATATACAATGTTAATAATGTTTTAAATTATTCAAGAATGACTTCTGATACAAACTGACAAATACAAACTGACAGATCGGCGATCGGTTCAACACACAAAAGTAACAATTGACGATCACCTTTAATCCGTGTGTGAAAAACCGACAACTCATCGATTATTAGGCATTCCAAACAAAATGGCTGACCGTTTGAAATGACAGGCCACTGACAGACACATGACATGTTATAATATGGCAACACTGTGAGCCTGGTGGTTTGATAGGGTCAATGCTATAAACAGATATATAGATAGATCATCCAGGATTTTAAAAATAAACATAAGCTTATGCGTTGAAGTAAAAATGTAAGCAATTATTTTTTTTTAATATCCAAAGGCTGAAAAACTCAAAAACGGATAAAGAAAAAACATTAAATTTTAAACTCAGTTTTATTTCGGCCTGACGTGAAATAATTAGATTTTGGACAAAGTCGGAACATCTTTATGGGAGGCCGCTTTTATATTTTATGGAATATATTTGTTATTTATGTTTGGAGAAGAAAATTGTTCAAATAAAAGTTACTTCTAATATTATCTACAATTTTTGTTTTATGTAAAAATTTCCTGAAATGGTCCGTATTCGAGAAATTTGATAAAATGTGCAAAATTCTGGTATTTATGAAAATTGTAGAACTAAAAGTTGTTTGCGATATCGATCTCTATAATTTTTGTTTATACATGATTTTTCTAAAATGGACCATAAGGGAAAAATTGTAGGAAAAGTGCTAAATTTAAATTTTTCCGTATTTTCGTTTTCAATGAATATCTATAGAAAAATGTTTCGAGGTAGATGTATGTGGAAAATGTATATATTTAGTTTATCCTCTAAATATTTATAGAGGTGCTGCAATAGGTTGTACAGAATAACCGGAAAAAGCCTATAATAACTAGATAGGAAAGTCATGTGTTGGACACATCAGATTTTTCAGGAATGTCAAGCAGAGTGGTTAGTTTTGGACCGAGTAACCGTTATTTCGGTTAATATCGGATCATACACCCTGAGTTAATATAGGTACACAAATATAAAGAAAATCTAGTGATTTTTCATTCGATCTAGTGATTTTTTGAACATATTTCTAGTGATTTTTAATTTTTCTGATCTGGTAACCTTGTCGTATATAGAAGCCATAACGTGCGAGAGAGAGATAGGATAACCCAAAAAGTATGTAGAAAGTCGATTTGAATATTATGAACAGGAAGCAAAATGACGAAAGGCGTGGATATGAAATAAAGTAATAAACTTTATTTGTAGTACCTAGAAAGTATGAAGCCCAAAAGACATCAGTTGTTTCATTACTGCCTACCCCATAGAACGTTTTTAGACAATTTTTGTAAAAGATGAGAATACTTCAGAAATAATCACATTATAACATTCTTAATTTACTCATTTTTCCTTTAAGCTTTTGATTAGGGCTGTGCCATTTTTTATCGAATACATCGATAGCACACACAAAGATTCTATAAACGTATGTTTATACTGTTGCCGTTCCCATATCTAAACTTTTCTAAATATTGAGGGAACTATATTGTGGGAATTACGTCCCGGCTGTGCACTCATATACCCCAAAAATTCAAGATTCCAACTCAAATGTTATCAGAAATAAAGCCATACAAAGTTTTCACGGGAACACTCGGTATATGTTGTCGATATTGCAGAAATCGTTCAAAGCTTGCTTAACGTATTATGATTTTGAGATATTTTACGAATTAAGAGCTCAGTAAAGAATGTATTTTAAATTATATTTATTATTATACTCTTAAACTAAAATCTTATAATCGTATATGTACTTACAGATCTCTGCCTATACCAGATTGTTTGTAGCCCCCAAAAGGAGTGTGAGGTCCAATAGCCTCATCATAGCAGTTTATCCTAAAAACAAGTCATAATAAAATCTATAAAATAAGTCGATTATTTTAAAAAACTCACCATACAGATCCTGCTTCAACAGCTTGAGCAAACACCATAGCAGTATCGATATTTTTGGTCAGAACGCCTGCGGCTAAACCGTATTCAGTACTGTTTGCTCTTTCAATCACTTCCTCTAGAGTGTCGAATTTTAAAATAGATTGAACTGGTCCAAAAATCTGTAAAAAAAATCGGTTAAGTTTCACAATAATATGTCAAAATATCACGTTCCTCTGCGTTGCCTTATGTAATCTATTAATTGTGGTTCATGCATAATTGTAATTGGAACGCATTAGAAGAATTGCTGGAAAACATGCAGAACATATTTTGAAATTTTTTGTTTGAAGGACATTGTTTATGTTTAAGAGGCCAACAGGATTGTTTGAGATTCGAAGGAGGCTGCTCACTTGCAATTCATATACGAGTAAATTATGAGTTATGAAAATATTTGCTAAGAGAAGTAAAGGATAAAGATCCTGCAAAGGCAGAAAAATAGATGGAGATTATTTTGAAGCTTATCTTCAAATGTGGCAACATTTCTAGTGGAAATTAAAATAGATGAGAGGAAGAGAGATAAACATGAAAGAATTCTTCTTAAAATGCAGGGAATAGAGTAAAATTATAAAAATTAATAAATGATTATGGGAAAAACGACGCAAAAGCTGAAAGGATTGTCGAGAATAAGAGATTGTAGGCAAACGAAGGGGAAAGACATTAAACAAAAATAAGATTATCATAAACAGAAAAATATTGAAGGAATAGAAGAATAAATTATTATACAAAAACGTCGGTGTTCAAGGTACAAAATAATAATAATAAAGAATATTTTGTTTTTTCTTTCAAAAAATTATGTACGCAAAACAATTTTTTGTTCTTTACCTCTTCTTTTGCTATGATCATATTATCAGTAACATTTGAAAACACAGTTGGTTGAACATAATATCCCACATCTCCAACTCGGTTGCCCCCAGCTGCAACATTCGCTCCTTGTTTCTTACCAGATTCAATTAGGGAAAGAATTTTATCCAAAGTGGCCTTATCTACCTAAAAATTAAAATAATATGATGTGTCCAACACATGGCTTTCCTGTAAAGTGATCAAATATATTGAGTACGGCCCATAAAATTAAAAAGTGTTGATATAATATGAATTAAAGATAAAAATTATTCAAAACGTTTTTCATATCTTCATTGTCAACGAAAAAATTTAAAAATTCAAATTCCCCTGAGGTTTCAACATAAATGGCTGACTAAATTTAACTGCCTTTGTTTTTAATGTATTAAGATGGGTTTACAAAATAAAATGAAAATAACTAATTCCACTTTTAATCCTTATTATCTAATCCCAAAGCAGTGTCCTATATATTTTACAATAATTTAATTTTATGTCGCCATAATTGGTAAAATGGTCTATTCCAGTAGAAAATGTGTTTTATAACCTGTGGGCCCTGTTGAGATTCTGGACAAAAAGGATCGCCAACCTTAATAGAATTAGCCTTGGCTGCAGCTTTTGTAACAAACTCGTTATAAATTTTAGATTGTACAAATGTCCTTGATCCAGCGCAACAATTTTGACCGTGGTTACTGAAAATAGCATCGGCAGCTATCTCTACAGCTTCATCAACTAAAACAAATACAAATTTTAATTTAAAACTGTAATTATGTTTCATATGTTTAATAACGAATACATTTTTGTGAACTTGCCATTGAAATCATCAAAAATTACTAGAGGGCTTTTTCCTCCCAATTCTAAAGATACTTTTTTCAAATTGGACTTTGCAGCACTCTCCATTATAAAATGTCCAACCTGTAACATTTCTATATGGTATTAAAGAGACCAAATAACCGACAAAGATAGAGATAATGCATTTCTTAATAGATGGAAAAAATGCATAATAATTTGAAATGTTTAACACTTTTAATTAAACGAACTAGAAAAACCAAAATATCTTTACCTGTGTAGATCCAGTAAAAGCAATTTTCCTAACATCAGGATGCCAGCTTAAGGCGCTTCCAGCTGTTGAACCGAATCCTGGAACTACATTGATGACTCCTTTGGGAAATCCGGCCTCCTTAGCCAGCGCAGCTAAATAAAGAGCGCCCAGAGGTGTTTGTTCTGCTGGTTTTAAAACAATAGTACATCCTGCAGCCAGAGCTGGTCCCCATTTCCAAGTTGCCATCATAATAGCGTAGTTCCATGGAATAATTTGACCTACGACTCCGACAGGTTCTTTGCGAGTCATGGTAAGGAGCGGGCCATCTTTCAAAACATAATAAATAATAATATAAAAAAATGCAATTAATGTTTTAAGTAGTTTTTAGAAAACCAGTAATAAAAATAATTTGGGGACAGGAAAAGGAAAAATATATTATAGGCATCTGTGAGTCACAGTATTTATTAGTGAAGACATTGAAGATGTACAAAACCAATATGACAATGAATGCATGAAATCAGAATGACAAAAGAATGTATGCTTTGGGGGTGATAATAGATACTAGACCAGAAGCAAGTAAAAAATTAATAGATATATAAGTTGGAACACGTGAATTTGAGAAGCTGTAGGGAAACGAAATCTGGAAATGAGTCACTACGAATAGAAAAGCTTGGAAACTTTTAAATAGGAAAAGTCTAAGTTTTCTGGAATATTAGTGGTATGTTAAGAGCCGAAGAGGGAGAAAAAAGAAGGGGATAATCAAAAAAGAAAAATAAAGGAACATTTTGACAAACTGGAATTAAAATATGGCAATAAATGACAAGGAACAGAAATATACTGCGAACAAATAGTGAAAAGATTGTAAGTAGTATGTTGCACATTTTATTTGAGATCATAATTGATTATAATAAGAAGGTCTTCATTAATAGTAAAGTATTCATTAGTAAGCCACCTTCTTCTAATGCCGAATAACTTGTTGGAAGGTAACGGTTTCGATATGTTAGAGGGATAAAGCTTGATCTTGTACATTGCAGAAGAGAAACCATTAACTCATTTGTAGCACAGAACATTGTTTATTTTTTAATAATTACCAACATTAGATTAGATTTAGTTAGGAATGTGGGCCATATAGCCTCCCAAACCTAGACAATAGGACGTACCTCTGTGGAGTAGCTAGTTGCTCTTGGTTTTTCTTCAAGTGTAAGGAATATCATTCTTGATAGACCTTTGCAGTAGCACAGTACATGTACTGCAGTATCCTCCGGTTTCTGACAGAATCGGCACAAGGACTTTTCAGAGTGCCAGATCAATGTTATACATATGTTTGTTAAGCCTACAATGCCTTGTTAATATGCCTACTAATACTCTACTATTTTTCATATTATCACGTCGCTTGACTGTCTGAGTATATAACAATGGTTTTTCCATTTACCTTATGTCTTAATGTCTCTTTTGCTCGGTGATATACAGGGTGTAACAAAAAAGTAGGTTATAAATTGAACCACATATTTTGGAGTCAAAAATAACTCGATTGAATATAGCTTACCTTAATGCAAACGAGCACACAAAAACAAATTACAGCCTTTAGAAAGTACAAAATAAAAATCGATTTTTCCAATATTTCATGAACATTTTGTAATGAAAATGGATACATATCTTTCTTATCGTAAAACATAAAACCACGACATCTGTACAGGCCATAAAATTTTTAGGGGGGCTTTGAAACCCTAAAACTCCCCCAAACTTTTCTATGCGCTACAATTAATTCAGTATTGTGACACCATTGGTTTAATTCATTATTTTTTATTTTTTTGGCATCATAGCATCGAAAAGCCAGTTTCTATTAAGATGTTGGTCACTTTTCCATTATTCTTCAAAAATTTTGAAGTTGGCTGTTCAACACTTGTAGTTTCTACGGATAAATGACAAACAGTTGCATTAACAATTACGTACTGTCAATTGAAGCTTTCGATCATTGTGCATTTTAAGAGTGTTATAAAAAATTGGATCGGTGAGTTCCAAAAACCGTACATGTCCAAAGTCAGTCAGTCTTCCGAGAAAAACAATAAAAACTATTTAACGTTGAAACTACTTGACATAGACTATTTTCATGCATAGAAAAGTTTTAGATCTCGTGATTTGCAATGTATTTTTAATGGTAGTTTTTCAGAAAATAAAATGGTCTATAAATGACACATACCAATGGAGTATGGACTTGTCCGGTTTTTGAACCTATAATATAAAGAAACAGGTGAAATGTTTTTGATTTATTTAATATTTATTTAAAAAGAAGGAAAAATACAATATCAAAACTGTTATCTCAGTCATCAACTCATAATTTTCAGCATTTGTGGTTTTCCAACTGACTATGGGTGAGATTACAGAAGCTCTGCAAATCGTACTTGCATCTGAAACTATCAGTTGTAATCGCAAAAGAAACATTTGGTATTACAGAAACGTGTTTTCACTTTTTGCATCTGCAAATCATCTGTAACTTTGCAGGAGGTTGGAACATCCTGCAAACTTGCGGAATGTTAATTTTTTATACTAACATTAAGTTTTCTGTTGCTATTGATTGAACATAATTCGTGGTGCCAGGTTAACGCAGTTTTTAAACATAGTAATGGATTTGGGTTTATTGTTGTTAGGGGGTAATAAACCACAATAAATATGGAAGATTTGCAGATGCTTTTTGGAACACAAAAAATTGATACTTGCATCTGTAACTCCGTCATACTTGCAAATCTGCAAAGGTGTAGGCTTGCTTTTTCTGTAATCTAGCCCTATAGCAATTGAGCATTATTTTGTTGTTGAGATGAAAAACCGTACGAGTCAAGGACATGTACGGGTTTTTCCTCATTTCGCGAGTGAAATCAGCTGTGCTACGTTAACGGCTAGGTATATAGTATGGTTTTTAAGCTCAATCGATGAAAAGACTAATTTTAAACAAAATGGCTATCTTACTTTAAAATGTAAAATTTTGGACTTGTACGATTTTCGAACTCACCGATTCAATTAAACTTTCTGTTACAATGGTTTACACCTTTACAGAAATTGCAGATATGCATTTAATTCTGGGTAAGTTTGGTCAGGCTAAAACAAGGTTTCAGATAATTATCTGTAATTCTGGTAATCACAGGTGAATGCCAAGGGAATAGTGCAGCAGCTGTAAGGCGTTATGCGGGAAAATATCCTAATCGGAATACACCAGACAGACGATTATTTATTTCCATTGCTCGTCATTTATGGAAGACGGGTACTTTGCGACCGCAACTTGCTGCTGGTAATAGTGGTGGTCCAAAAATGGATACAAACGATGAGGAGATTTTAGAATTAGTCGAAGAAACCCCTCTAAGCAGTACAAGGGTAATAGCTGCTCAATTAGATGTAGGTCACATAATGGTTTTAAGAAAATTGAAAGAACAGCAGCTTTATCCCTATTACTTAACAACCGTTCAAGAATTACTAGATGAGGATTATTCTAAAAATGGGATTTTGCGACTGGTTCTTAACGGAAAACAATCGAAATATCAATTTTATTATTCATATTTTACCGATGAAGCTACCTTCAATAGAAATGGCATTACGAATTACCATAACGAATATAAATGGGCCGAAGAAAATCCCTATGAAAAAAGTGACTCATCGCAAAAAGACTTTTAAAGTCAATATTTGGGCAGGCATTGTGAATAATGATTTAATAGGACCAGTATTTCTTCCAAATAATTTAATTGGTGCAAATTACTTGCAGTTCTTACAAAATGATTTACCAGAGTACTTGGAAGAGGTAAATTTAGGAATAAGGCAAAATATATGGTATTTACAAGATGGAGCTCCAGCGCATTTCGATAACAAAGTTAGGGAATATCTTTTCGGTATGTACCCTGGACGTTGGATTGGAAGGGGTCCTGAAGCACCTATTTCTTGGCCAGCCAGAAGTCCAGATCTTAATCCTATTGAATTTCGCTTCTGTGGGAAAAAAAGACGTGTATTCTGTTGAAATAATCGACTGAGGCATCGAATGAAAGTGTAAATTGATTTCGTCAGAAGCCAATGATCTTCTAAAAAAATTCGGTTTTTCTTTTTAAAACGGTACCGAATGTGTAATCACGAAAATGGATGCCATTTTGAACAAATATTTTTTATATCTGCAAATAACATGAATACTCAGGTATAACTTACTTTTTGTTACTCAAAATTTTTAAAGGCTAATGAAAAGAGGCCACATCTCGATAAAAAGTGGCTTTTTGAAAAAGTTCTAAGAGGAAAAATGTTTTAAAAAATGATGTATTAAGCCAATGGTGTCATAATACTAATTTAATTGTAACGCATAGAAAAGTTTAAGGGGTTTTAAGGGTTCAAAGCCCCCTAAAATATTTATGACCTGTACAGATTTCATGGTTTTATGTGAAAAATGTACTCTTACGATAAGAAAGCCATGTATTTATTTTTATTACAAAATTTTAAACAGTTCATGAAATATTGGAAAAAATCGATTTTCATTTTGTACTTTTTTGCGTGCTTACCTTAGTCGAGTTATTTTTTAGTTCAGAATATGTGGTTCCATTTATGACCTACCTTCTTGTTACTGGTATTTCTGCCTGGAATACTATCGCATGTTTATCTAAGCTTAGTGACATTATTTGTCTTTAGCTTGGGACTATATAGGTACCTATTCCTGAACCTTCATGCATATTGGAGCTGTCTGTGTACCAAGTGATTTCTGCGTGGATAAAAGTTCCTCCTGTTTGGTATACGTACTCTATATTATTTTTAAAAGTTATATTTTGGGAGCATTTCGTCTGAAGGCATTCCCATTATTTGGTCGTTCTCAAACTCCAACTCTTTGTATAGGTAGCTCTTCGAGCATATATGAAATATATATGCTCGAAGAGGACTTTTGTGTAGTATGTATACAACGGACCTGGTTTGATTTTGAATGAATATGTGTAGTGGTGTTAGGTCACGATATACTCCTTAGTGCATATAAGACTAGAGGTGTTACTTAAATGGGTTTGTTATGTACTGAGGGGGGTAAACCCTTCGATGTTAGGTACACGACGCATTATTATTGCCGAGTTAAGAACACGACGATTTATGATTGGCGAATTTAAATAATGCGCATATTTGTGATAAATGACATTTTATTTGACGTCTTTTCTTTTTTAAAAAGATCGTTTTTGTGGCTTCCAAAGACAATTTGGACGACGTGTCTCTTTGATAAACTTTTTAAGTGTATTTTTATTATAAAATAAGTGCTAATCATGCCGAAAGCTTGTATAGTGTGCAATAATACATTTTATGTACATTTCATTTATAGAGACGAACATATGCAAGACAGGGAATTTCAATCTTTAACTCTCTTTAGAAGACAAAAAATTGTGTAAAATTTGATAAACTCATCACCTAACCACAATATCTGTAAGCTCCCATTCATCTACACTAAATGCTTCTGAAGGAAAAGAGAACTTTTGTCGTCTAGATTTTATTTTATTTTGTTTCTGAAGGTTTGTAGGTCCTACACATAAGAATGAATCTGGAATTGCTACACCTACTTTTTTTAAGACCAAACAGTTAATGATTATTTATATTTCACAAAATTATTCGATTTTACGAGATGTATTACCTTCTATTAGGCTCGATGTATCGAGAATTTTCAATTAATTGTAGAGTTGTATACAGATAGACTATATCATAAAATAAAAAAATCATCGATTAATTCGGCAGAAATATTAGGCATTCCAAACTGAATGGCTACCAGTGGGTTTTGACGGGTTATGATATGGCAAAATTATGGCAACCCTGTAGGCCTGGTGATTTGACAAGGTCAATGAAATAGATAGTTACATAGATCGATCATCCATATTTTTCAAAATAAACATAAGCTTATGCCTTGAAGTAAAAATGTAAGCAATTCTTTTTTTTTTAAATATCTAAAGGCTAAACATTGGTTTTAAAACACATTTTTGCTAAACCGATTGAAATTAATAAATATTTGCCAGGCAATATGACCGCTCGTAAACGACCAGCTTTGAGCGATCTATATAACTATATATGTATCATTGACCCTGTTAATGACAACATGATAACAGGGTTGCCATATCTAAACTGTCATTACCCACTGGTAGCCATTTGGACAGGTCGTTGGAATGCCTAATTGTTAAAACGAGCCATGATGAAAAATTATAACAAAATTGACAACTGTCAAATTTTGAAGTGGATATTAAGGGGGTTATGATTGACAACCTGTGTTATTTTTAGCAGGTCTGTTATTTTATAAACACACAGAAATTGCAACCTGTTCACAAATAACGTGTCTGTTAAAAATAACATTATTTGTCTATCATAACCCCGCTACTAGTCGTAGTTTTGACATAAGTCATAACAGGTACGTAAATAACCGCTAAAATATATGATAACAATGACATATCAAG